CTCTATATTAACCTCCCACAATAGCAACATTCCCAAGCCAAAGTCCAGAAAAAACATACCTCTCCGAATTTACCACCCTGCAGTTCTGAATCCGCCCCGTTAGAGGGGTCTCCGCGATGCCGGAGATGTTCATATGTTCCCGGGTTTCGGCACCATATGTCCCGCGCGCGCTGTATTTTCTCGCCGGCAAGAAATACACGCAGGACACTTGGATCCTTCTGCAGACAAGCTTTTAATGCATCATCTTACCAGAGCGGAGACTCTGAACCAAGAAAACCCATCCCTAATAAAGGCTGGCCAGCCGCCTGGGACGTGTTACCCTATGAATGGCTTCAGCTCCTCAGGCCAAATGAGCCACGGGATAGGCAGAGATCAAAGGAATGGAGATTACCCAGCACCTGTGAAGTAATTTACATCTTGGTGTCTTTAGGCACCATTATTGTAATGGAGCATGCAGGAAACGGCCCCCTACACTCTCCCAACATCTATCAAATGGCATTAGCTAGGGGTGGGACTTAGTGCTTACCTCCCATGTTGTGCTTGGAGTTTTGTCTGGCTTGAGATTGCACAGGTCTTGCTCATAGTGCCATAGCAGCTGTAAGTTCATATGTGCAATTGCCCTGCTCTGTCCAGAAAAGTTTCCTTGTCCTTAGCGCCACCTCTGACTCTCACAATTGCTCTGCCCCTCTTTGATGGTGATCCATGAGCCAAAGGAGGTGAATGTTCTATAAACCTAATAACCCTCCAGGTACCCCAAGTCATGTCCTAACCTTAGCACTCAGAGATGTTTTGACTTACTAAGCTATTTTAAAAGGTTAACCTGTATAGAGCTGATCTCATCACAGTCTTAAGAACTGAGTAATTTCCCAACAGCTAGCCAAAAGAAGAGACATAAAGAGACAAGAGGGGTCTGAGTAATGCCATGCCATGTTTCTGGCCATTAGCCAAGGATTGCAGGTTGCCTCTGGAAGGTAGGAAAGGCAAGAAATAGATTCTCTCCTGAAGTCTGCAGAAAGAAACACAGCTTTGAGGACACTTGGGCTTTAGCTCAGCACAGTCATGTTGAACTTCCGACAATAACCAAATGATAACTCATGCTATAATGGGAGTCACATTATATTTTGTTAAGATACACCTAAGATACACCTATTTCTAAATGAATTTTCATTATTCAAAGAAAAATTTTAGACATAGGAGAAAGTTTTGAAGGAAATATTGTCAATAACAATGAAAAACTTTAATATTGATTTTAACTGATGAAGTAAAGATTATGTTGCTGTCATATGTTTGAAAAGACTAGTTATTTGCTATACCAAGATCATTTTACCTTGCACAAAATCTGTAGGTTTTATTTATTTTTAGTTTTTCACTTACATGCTTTTCTAGATGCATGCATGACACCTTTGAAGCACCACTAACCTACACCAGGCCTGCTAAAAATTTCCTATAAACAGACTGGATGTTTGACTGAATTGGCCATGTGACAGACAGAAGCTTCCTCTGAGAGATTTTGGAGGAAGGAAGATGAATTTTTTTTCCTATGGGTAAAATAGTGAAGTGATGATTAACTTTACCATTTAAAAAAAAAAAATTCAGCCAGAATGGTGGCCCAAGCCTTTAATCCCAGCACTCAGGAGGCAGAGGCAGACAGATCTCTTTGTGAGTTTAAAGTTAGCCTTGTCTACAAAGGAGGGTCCATGGCAGCAAGAGCTGTTACACAGAGAAACCCTGTCTCACCACCCCAAATGAAATAATAAACTAAAATATTTTATGGTGACACCATCTTAGGGTTTCTATTGCTATGAAGAAACCATGACCATGACAGCTCTTCTTGTTTTTTTTTTTTTTTACTTTTTTGTGTCTTTTACATCATATATTTTGATCCCATTCATTTCCCCATCCCTTTGCATCCATCTTCTTCTACCCCTGCACACCCCGCCAAAAATAAAACAAGATTTAAGGGAAAAAATAAAAATCTCTTCATGGGAGCTGTAGTGTGACACAGTGAGTCATGCAGTAAACCCCTTTGTCCATGTGTCCTTACTTGCAAGTGTTCACTGCAGAGTCATCACTGGTCTGGTTCAAGGCCTCTGGTTTCTACTGCACTACTCATGCTGGGCCCTCACTAGGACTCTTCCTGGACATCCTGTTTGTTGCCCTGTGTTGTGGAGATCCTGCAGCTTTAGGACTACAGGTCAGGTCCATCCACATGCTTCAGCAGATAATAGATGGGGTGGATGTTGGGGTGGGCCAACATATATAACCCTGGTTCTGGGCCTGGGTAGTTGCCGAGTTGCTCAGCCCACCTGCTTTCCCCAATCCTCACCACCAGAGTGAGCTCTCCAGCATTGCCCCAGCTAATTCACCTCTTGCAGCAATGAGCAAGGAGGTGGGGCCAGTTCTCATGCTCTCCCATACCTCCACCATCAGGACCAGCTCTATTGTGTTGCTCCCACAAGGTACAGGGGCCACTCTCCCAAGTGCTGCAGCTTCTGAGGGGTAGGGACAGCCCTTCAGCTCTTATGACCACAGGGCCAACTCCTCTGCCTGTCTCAGGTGTTGATGGGCATCTCTCTTCTGCCATGCTACCACATATCAGATGAGTGAGTAATGGGGACAAGCTCTCTCTTGCTCACAACATGGAGGCTGGATCACCCTCACCTCTGACCACTGGGCAGCTCTACTGTGCTGCGTAGGCAAGGGGCAGGGCCTATTTTCTGAGTGCTGAAGCTGGTGAGGGGGGAGGGTCAGCTCTCTCATCTGAAGCCAGCAGTAAGGGATAAAGGGAAGCGCATCTGTCACCTTCACACACCACCACATGACAGATGAGTAATGGGGACAGCTTTCCAACATTTACAACTTCAGGGCTGGCTCACACAGACCTCTACCAACAAGGTTGGCTCTATTGTGTTATGCAGGTGAGGTACAGCTGCTGCAAATAGTCAGCTCAGGGACAACTCCCACTCTTGTGACCTCAGGGTCTGCTCAGCTGCCTCAGTCATTGATGGGGGAGAGGGGAAGAAGTATGCCACAGGACAGATGGGTGAAGGGACAGCTCTCCCTACCTCACTACTACTTTGGGGCCAGCTTACCCACACCTGCACTAACTGCTGTGCTGCCCTGGCAAGGTGCAGGGCCTGCCTGCTCTCCTGATTGTTGCAGCTGGTGGAGGGAGGGGAGTCAGGGACAGCTCTCTCACCTGCTCCAGGCATTGATGGGCAGGGGGTAAGAGTGGGGAAAGGACAATTTTCCCCCGAAAGTGCATGGCAATTCTTAAAAATGAGGACATTTAATTGGGATGACTTGCTTACAGTTCAGAGGTTTAATCATTTATCATCATGGTAGGACATGGTGGCATATAGTCAGACATGGTGCTGGAGAGGTAGTTGAGAGTAATACATCATGCAGGCAATAGGAAGTGGTCTGAGACACTGGGTAGTATCTTGAGCATATACAACACCTCAAAGCCTGCCTCCGCAGTGATAATTTCTGAAACAAGACTGCACCTGCTCCACCAATGCCATGTCTCCTAATAGAGCCACTCCGTTTGTGGTTTATGGGGGCCAATTACAAACTTCCACAGACACTTAAGGTCCTTCCCATGGTCAAGTTCACACTCTTAGCTACTGAGAACAAACACCGTCTCCATTCCCCTTCCCCATATTCTACACAGCCATAATTGACACTCCTCATATTTACTAGGAAATTAGTAGTTTGAAGATTAACTTTATTTTAGATTGAAGCATGATAGAGACATAATATGTTTTTTTTTTAATTTTTGGTTTTTAATTCTTAAATCAGTGTGGACAATATCTTGCTGTTCATTGGTACAAAACAGCCCTGTCCTGGGTATACAAGTCTGTAACATCATTCAATACAGTGAATTTACTTCATGAGACAGCATAGCAGAATAGGACTAAGTAAGATACATTTTAATAAGAAAATGCTTGAAATAAACAAAATCACAAAGCTGATGAACATGTGACTGTGCAGTCTGCACATCACAATGTGAATGTATGCCAGCTTATGCATGTGAATTTCACTAAGTGATCTTCCTAAATATAGCTGCTCTCTCTCTCTCTCTCTCTCTCTCTCTCTCTCTCTCTGTGTGTGTGTGTGTGTGTGTGTGTGTGTGTGTGTGTGTGTGTGTGTGTGTGTGTAAGGTACCTGCTATTTCTAAGGGGCTGTACAGGCAACATCCAAAAGTACCCCAGAGGTTGGTTTGGTCAGTGATCAAAGATGATCTTTAAGGCAATCTTCCCAGTGAATGTCGACATCTCTGATGTGGCCTTTCCAGTTAAGTATTATGGCTATGAAAACTGTATCGTATAGTCTGTGGACAATTTTAGTAGCACATCATCACATTGTCATTTTGTAAAAAATAGCTATAAAATCCCACCATTATAAAAGTGTCTGGGGTGCTTTAGCTCATAGACATACAGCAGGCACTTTCTGTTGACCTATCCATACATGCTAATTATAATCTAGGCATGTTCACCTCCAATGGCTGCACTGAGTTTATCCTAATAAGGTTTGTTTTAAATACTATGTTCACATACAGAGCCATAATGATTTGCTTATAATTTGTCTGATTTTGTTCTGAGTTTAGAATTTTTTCCCTTAGGTGAAGTTCTACAGATGCATTAAAAATAAATAGTGCTACTTTTGAGCCTTTTCCTGCTTGATAATGTGTGTGGTTCTCAAAGCATGTGAACTACACTGGCTATACTGTAGAATGGACACAGGCCATTGCATGAGTCCCCTTTCAGAAACCAGTTTCATTTAATCTCCTTCTTAGCCTTGTAGGTGGCAGAGACCACCAGGTAATTATCTGGATTCATGTCCTTCAGGATTGGTGATTTGCTCTGCACAGGGGATGTCTTGCCATCCACACGGGAGATCTGCAGCATGCGGCAGGGGTCATGCTTGAGTAGATAGCCTGCGAAGGTCTCCCAGCCTCCTCCCACTCGGACCATCACATGCTTGTTGTGCAGCATCTGGAAGGAAAGAGCAATAAAGCAAGTCAGGTTTTGAGAGTTTGTACCAGACCTCACAGCAACCTCAGCTCTAGTAAAAGCACTGTGGCTTGCCTCCCTTTCATGACCTTGTTTATCCATGTAGCACAATGTCTGCTTGGGACAAGGCTTGTGAAGGAAAGCCTGCATGCGGATGAATCTTGGGAAAACATCTAGAATCTAACTTTCATGTGTCACAAAGCGTCTATATTTCTGACTAGATGCACATGAAAGCGTCTTCCTGATGTACAATGGAGCAGTAACACTCTTTACTGCCTCAGCTCATATCAGTGTTCCATCCTTCCCACTGGGTCATTTTCCTCTCAACCAGAACTTAAGAGACCTTGGAAGTCTGGTATTGAGTTAATGTTAATAAATGATGTTAACAGTCACACATATTTGCTACAAAAAAAATTAAAATGCGCTCAGAAAGAGAGAGAGAGAGAGAGAGAGAGAGAGAGAGAGAGAGAGAGATAGATGTTCAAGTCATTGAGCCTTTCCTTTGATGACAGTCTTCCCAGTTACTTTAGGATACACCTATTAAAATCAACTAAGCCAAAACAAAAATAAGTACACACACACACACACACACACACACACACACACACACACACACACACACACACACACACACACACACCACACAAAAACCACACATCCCCAAACCAAACAACAACAAAATAATTCATACATCAGAAACTTACCTTCAGGCCAGGGAGCCATCCAGAGCTCCAGCCTCTACCTCTCCAGTGCTACACTCACAGGAAGGTCCCACCATACCTGGGGTCATGGTATTGGAGACTGAACCCAGGGCATCTTGCATGCTAGGCAACTCAACAAACTGAGCTGCATCCCCAAACCCAAGACAGTTTGTAACTCTGGGAAAAAGTAAAAAGTCCTTTTCAGCCTGGAGTATTCTTCTCATCATGTAATCACACTCTGGGAGGTTCTACAACAAATCTGCAGAAGCTTGCCAAATGGAAATCTGAGCGTGAAGAACACGGGAAATAAACTGTCCTCCTCTTGTGCAGCTTCTGTAGTAGATGGAATATGAACACAATATTGTTGGCACAGCCAATAGCTGAGGATTACCAGGAAATACCCTTGCAGTTCATCTAGGTTCACTCTTCTGGCTTGACCAACAAAGACTATCACACGTAACTGTACTACTTTCTGTGAGGAGCCTGGGGTCCTAACCCTGCCTTCAGCAGAGGAAAGTAGTGTTAATGACACTACAATTGAAGCAGTCAGTTAGGTTTTCCAGGATCTAAAAGCTTTGTTGATTAATGATTGTGAAGATTGGGGGTGGGGTGTGCATGCATATATTTAAACATTTTGAAATCTGACCCTACATTGCTTGCTGATCTTGATCTTTTTATTATTATTATTATTATTATTATTATTATTATTATTATTATTTATTGCATTCTCAGGCAATCACAGGAGAGGTGACTCCAAGGACTGACTGGCCATCCTCCTGCTCCTAAGCCATTAAAGGAAATAGTGAACACATGCTGTTGTGCATGCCTTCATTTCAAGTTGCGTACCACAAAATTAGAAAAAGATTCTTCCATTTTAGAAACAGATAAGACTATCTGTCTATTAAATATTTTATGGATACACTTGACACCACCAGAATTAGGGCATTGTGAACACAAAGGTCAATAGCATGATTTGCTTTCTCAAATAATTTCAGCTGCTTTTGTTTTCATTTCTCACAACTGTGAGATGCTTCTCTTGATTTGAAACAAGGTGTCTCTGTCTCTGTCTCTGTCTCTGTCTCTGTCTCTGTCTCTCTCTCTCTCTCTCTCTCTCTCTCTCTCTGTGTGTGTGTGTTTGTGTGTGTGTATGTTTCTCTTCTGCCCCTGACCTAAGCTATATTACAAGTAACAGGAACAAAAGGAATGCATAGGCAAACAGAAGCAGCTCTGAAGGCTTCCTGCAGAAGCTCTAAGCACTGTGAGCCCTGGACACACATCTTATTTATAAGACACACTTCAGAGAATGTTGCTTCCACACTGAAGTGGGGGAGGGGGGTTGAGTGCATTATCTTCTCACCTCAGTTTCACCACCTGGGTGTTAGAGAGTTTTCTCAACACTATTAGGTTTCCATGGAAATCTCCACCATCACATATCTGAGATAAGAAACTCAGGGCTGTCTTATAGGAGGCAGTCTTACATTTTGGCCTTACTGTAATGTGCTAAGAAGTCTGTAGTCAATCTTGGAATTTCAGGTATGAGATTAAGATATTAAGGTCACAGTCATGAATAACTGCTTACAGAGATTTAAATCCCATGAACCCTTTAAATGTGTGCTCATTTTCAATGTAAAAGCCAATTAATCTGATATAAGCCCAATGACTTTGAACTTGTTTCTCCCAGGAGCACTGGCATAGACCTTTGATGGATTCATCACATGATGGCATTATTGAGAGGGGACAAAAAAAGAAGGGCCTTCTAGAAGAGGTAGGCCACTAGGGGCCCCTTCCATATTCCTTATCTGCTTTCTGTCCACCATGAAGCAAGCAAGCTTTGCCACATACTCCTCCCTCCATAGTGCTGTGCCTCATAGGGGCCCAGTTCAACAGCCCCAAGGAATACTGACTGAAACATCTCAGGCTCTGATCTAGAAGAAGCCCTTCTGTGGTGCTTGTGTGACAGAAGGGCAGCTAATACACATGTTCCCTTCATAACACCTGAGCTCTCTGTTTGGGAATTATATTTACACAACCTTACAGCACCACCAATAGCATACTTGTATGATACTCACATAGGCTATCCTTACTTTGTTTAAATAATGATGTAGTTAACAGAATGCCTCCAATTTTATAGATAGAAAAGCCAAGGCTTTTAGAAAGCAAGCAACTTGTGTAAGGTCATAAGCCAAGGAGTAGCAGCAGGCAGTCCAGACTTTGGTTTTCATGCCTTCTAGTCACTGGCCACTGGCATCACAGGCATCGTGGGTATCAGAAATAGCAATAAGCACTTTGAGCAGATTAACTGAGCTCCCTTAAATTAATCTATAGAGACACGTAATAAACCAGGTTTAATTTCAGAAGACTGTGTGGCTATGGTTCTAATTATTCCGAAACAAGTGTCTCAAGTGTAGTGACAGGATGAAACACATTCACAGCCAGTTGTGCATGAGCCTCTGTCCTTCCAAAGCACCCAGTGCAGAAAGGAGGCTTCTCCCTCTCTATCCAAACTGGAGAGGCAGGCAGGTAGGAATCACATTATGTGTAGGTACCAAGAGCTTCAGCAACCAGAAAGGTTCTTCCCCTCTTCTCAGAGACACTAATTAGTGCTTAGAAATAGAAACAAACCAACTCACTTTCCATTTTAAAGGGAAAGACGATATTTATGTGGCTCACAGATAATGGCATGTTTTACTAAGTGACAAGACCAATCACATAAAACATCTGAGGCAGTATCAGGGGTTTACTAGTAACATACTCGTGCTTCACAGTGTTAGGCACACAGTGCTTATCAAATGCATTTTAAATGCATATTGATTGATAGATGCTCCGTTCAAGTAGCACTCTGGCTGTTTTGAATACACCTGTATTAGTCCTAGACTGATGGGGAGAGAAAGATGAAAAGATTTGTGTCCTTCTTCTAGAAAGTCTGGGTGTGAACAGTAATCCATACCAGCCTTTGTATAGAGAACTTCGCTGAGAGAAGGAGTCTGAAAGTGAGGCTATAAGGTTCTGCGCAGGGAGGAAAGAGTGGGATGGTGACTCAAGATGGCTGTGGATGGAAGAAAGAGAAGGTAGATGGGGTGAGAAGGAAAGCATCATGACTGAGGGCAGAGAGAATGAAGTTACATTTCTTTGGGATGATCATGAATCCTTACTTCTAACACATTTTTTTAAATGACCAACAGTAGCAATAAATTGTTCAACAAAGTTTCCATACACATGCTCTCCATGATGCTTAAGTGGGCAAGTGTCCTTTAGCCACGGTCACCCAGCACTCCTGGGTTCTCCTGAAGCCTTTCTCCCTTAGCAGATCCAGATGCTCAATATCAACACTGTCCGTTAACTGCTCTCCACTAGAGTGGGAGGCAACTGTCTGACAGCACTGCCTACAGGAGCTGGGTCACCAAATTTAGATTCTGAGCTATCAGATGCTTCCTAACACCTAGTCAGCCCTGTTCACTGTGTGTTTTTGTAAGGCATCATAACATGAACACAAATATTGTTTTTAGAAGGCAGTCATCTGTTCTCCAGAGAAGAACATTACACTAATTTATAGGACTGCAGACTCTATCATAATTTCATATCACTCTGAAATGGCATATGTTACAATTGGACAACTGGGAATTCAGCTGTCTAACTCAGTTCCCTGACACATTTATGGACAAGACAGCAGATGTTCAGCAGATGGTTGGACACCAGAATTTTCAAAATAAGTGATAAGGTTATAAGTCTGCAGTGCAAACCAAGGCGCCAGTGACAACATGTGGTGTTTAACACCTTCCTTGCCAGAGCAGAGGATTTCATCTTACATTTTCATAAAACAGCTCATCACAGCTCAGATAAACAGGCTCTGGAAATCAGCTCTCCATGTTTATTACTTCCATTAACTCCCCCGTGTGCCTTTAAGTCATAAACTTCAGAGAGATGAGTCACAGGAACGAGAGAGGGGAAGCTATCATTTGCTCAGTCTCTACCAAGAGTGCCAAGCTGGAACCCGCACTAACTCTGTATGATCTCGACAATTGCATGCATTCTCCCTGTTCCTCAATTTTCCTTCTAAGTTGTAGATTTTTCCTCCTAGATTCATTGAGACAGAGATACTTCATGTAAACATGAAGACACCATGCCTGAAACACAGAAGGTAATTCTTAATAGCTGTAGGAAGCTGAATGCTTTGTTCTGACAACTACAGACTCACACCCCATCAGGATACCAACTTTTTTCACTCTGTTATCACAAGGGCTCCACCTTGGCAGGCTGGTATTACTGTTACCTCTATTTGGA